GAAGTGGCAGCAGTTAACAAGGAACAGAAGAGGCGGGGTGGCAGTCAGAGACCAGGGGTCTCATTTATCCAACATGGCGTAGAATCCTTACTAAAACCGTACTTAAGCTCAGCAAAAAATATATACTTACGCCAAGTAGGTTTGTGATCTATCAAACATGGAGTACGCACAGCTGCACGCAATCTCCACTTCAGAAATCAGAAACTATCTAGAAAGGTTCTCAGCTTTTTAGTCACATCCCGCCCTCAACACGCCCACTTACTGCCATAAATAGTCAATGCAAAGTGCCTTGTGGATCTCATGCATATACATAAGCCGGCTGTTGCAGCGCTTCGCTAATGACATGTCGATCGTAGATCAAGGCAGATCAAGGGAGCGCTACTTCACAGAAGCAGAAATTTAGGTACCTGTGGGTGAGGTAGAGAAATGAAAGGAAATGCTTTTGCAAAACAAATAAGAGAAAATCCACGGAGTGGCACAGTGTTGCTGAAGCCGTCAATGTTGTGAGTTCTTCAGAGAGATCTGTGGCGGATATAAAAAAAATGGTCCAATCAAGATTCGATCCACAGACTCCAGGGTGAAAGTCACGCATGCTAACCAGTCACCCAAACAGAGATCTCCCCTGTCCAAGTAGCCAGGGCACATGATTAATCGGGTCACAGTGACAGGACACACACAGTCACAGACGCATGACATACTGTCTGAATCTGTTCCCCTGCTGATTTTCTGCATTCCGTATTCTGCACTTCAGGCTGTGTGTGTGTGCGCGCGTGCGTGTGTGTGTGTGTGCGTGTGGCGGGTCTTGTTCTGTGTGAAAACGAAGCAGTACAAGTGATAATGCTGCAGGAATTCATAATTTTATCCTTCTCAGCAGCAGCACTGCAGGTGCTCTCCATGTCCAAAATGTGCATAAGCCAGGTCCTTAGTCAACTTAAAGTAGCGCACATTTTTTCACTAAGTTTTCTTTCATAAATCCTAAAGTTTGCATGGAAAGTTTTTTACGCAGTTTTCCGACCCCATTGTGTGCGTCAGCAAGCTTGATAAATGAGGCCCCAGATCGCTCGAGTACAGCCAGGGAAAACAAACTGATACAAATACAAGAAACAATCAAATAAGTCAACCTGCTTTTACTGTAAACAAGTCATGTGAAACTAGAACTTGATCTAGATGTATATTTTGTAACCGTCAGGTTGATATAAATGTTGAATTGAAAGAAAGTAATGGCCTGGCACACCATCCTACATATGTGAATGGATAGTCTGGCCACGACTCCGCAGACAAAGCTTATTGGGGCAGAATCTACGGATGTCTTTCAAACTGTCTCTGCGTGCTATTGGACAACGAAGAATGTGACATACTCAACATTATGGATGTCAGTCAACAGAGCAGCCCGCCAAACACCATCAAGGAAAACGCAAATATCCTTTTTCTAAATACCTTTATCTGCTCTTGACTCAAAGAAAAGCCTGATGCCAAAGCCGCTTCAAACAAGCCATGATCATCTTAGTTGTTCCGCTCTGTTGCATCGTCTCACCCACCAAACCGATACAGCTCTGTGATTGGCCCACCAAACCAGTTGAGCTCTGTGATTGGCACAACAAACCAGTTGAGCTCTGTGATTGGCCCACCAAACTGATAGAGCGCTGTGATTTGCAAGGCAAAATATTTCTTGGGCCTCCTCACTCCTATGGAGTGTGGCTAGAATGTCTACATCTTGAGGCTATAAAGATGGAGTATTCTTAAAAACATAATGAAAGAAATTTCTGGGCGATCTTTGATGTTGGGAACATTGATGGAACACGGTTTCTGGGAATCATTCTGTCCAGGTTTTCTACGATATTTAAATCCAGACAAAAGCACGGGAATACTCAGTTAATATATAAAATATTAGAGTTAGGAGGTCATGGAAAGATAAAGAGGATGAGCGAAGAGCAGCATCAGCTGTGGGGAGATGGGAGAAGGTTAGTGTCAAGACACAGAGAGTTAGAGAAATATGAATTAAGGCAGTGCAAATGTAAAAGGGTCTCCTCTATGTGTGTCTCCAGGCAGTGTACGTGGCCTGCTTTAACACCCCCTCCACCATCTGTCACGTCCCACTCTTCATGGAAAGAGAGTGCTCATCTCTTCAGTTTACAGTCCAATTGCTATTTCAGCAATGTGCAGAATATCTGCAACTCCCTCCACCATTCCATCCAACATTCATGTTTCGTTTAAAGAGTTTGTTCACCGGTCTTCTGGTGCAGCTTCAGTCCAGCAGCAGAACAGGGTCACTGCACTTCCGTCATCCGTCAGTAGAAGCTTTGCGTTTTGTCAAGTTTCTTTCGCTCTCCTCCCCTGGTCCCAAAACATAGATTGTCACTTAATTTCCAAGCCTGATCAACCCCCACAGTAGCCCATTTTTAGCATGTTTAATTTCACTCACAGCCAGCAGTGTTCGTGAGTCCTTGGGATTTGCATCAATGTCGAGCACTTTCAGACTGATGGGTGTGAGCGAGTCGATCCCGTCTAACGTCTCATACACTCCCCTGGTTTGCTGGATGGGTAGAGTTAACATCTCATCACACTTCTTAGGATTACTGGAAATTCAGCTCCTTATTGGTGACAGCTAACTCAAAGAAATATGCATCTAGATTGTTGATGTTGAATTTGGGATTAACTGTTACCCCTGAATGTGTCAAAACCCTGCAGACATTCAGTTTGAGGAATTAGTTAAAATCCAGCCTTTTTTTCTGACTTAACTGCAAAAGTTCCTTTATTTTTGATGATTAATGTTGCTTATAGTTGCAGTGTCAGGTATTATAAACATAACGACCTTTTTTTTAGGTTTTAAATGTTGTTTATTGGGTTATTTTGACATTTTATTGAATTTCCTAGCGCTGGCTTAGAATTGGAGAAAAGCAGGATAATGCTGTCTGAAAGAGCGAGCTTCTGCCCATTGAGGTGTCAGCTGTGTGCATTCTAAGAACTCAGAGATGCAGGGGAATTACAAACGCATGTACGCACATTCACACGAGTGTTCCCATCCCTGAACCTGCATCACCTACGCACACTCTTGATCTCTGAGAATAATCAGCATTTGGGAGGCTTCCACCTCATTGCTTATTCATAGCTTGTGTTTATATCTTATTCATGCCACGGCTCGGGATGTCTGTCTGTTTTAACGAGTAATTGGGAATAATTGCATGAGTGTGTCGAATGTGTAAGAGGCAGATTGGACTGAGTAAATCATTTTTGTGAAAGGGATCGGGATGTTTTCTGTACATGTGCGTCACACAGCTACAGATGACACATGGTGTATAAAAGGTTTGAAATGTGCTTAGTCATTTTGGCTTTTTAGGCTTCCATGTTGCGTTGCATGGACGCTCCACATCCAGGAGCAACGGATGAATGTGTTACTATGGTCTGGTAAAAGTGTGATTACATCGTCAACAGAACATCAAAGGTGCTGTTTATTATTTATGTATGCCTTTTTGAAAGCCTGAACATGCAGAAAAAAACTATGAGCTCCTTCACGCCACTCAGGACTCGTTCATTTTAGGGGTTTTGTAAATAAGAAGTGAAAAACTGATTTACAGCATCACTCATTTACCAGTATGCACGCTGGTTTACTGACATAGTTGTACAAAAACCACAAACAAGTCTCCTGCATCGAAGTTTTGAAATAAACGGGAAGTTGGCTATTTTAAGGCTTCACTTTTAAAACATTCTACGTGTCTGCTTCAAATGTGAGGCATTAAAAACCGTAGACTTTCTACCCTAAACACAATTGATCAACGTCAAATATTACAATTTAATGCTCTCATCTCTAAACTTTCATGACAATTCATGCAAAAATGTCCATGAATTTCCCGTTATGACATTATTTCAGTTGAGGTGTTGATAAAATTCTCATCAGATGTGTCCCAGGTTGCACAGGAAAGCTGCAGCTAGCTGCTGCGCTATTCACACGTATCCAGAGAGTTCGAGTATTATAACATTGCAAATTAGAGGAGGTCAAAACTTATTCAAAAAATTTTTTTCTATCGAAGTTTGGGATTTTATTTACTTCAACGTGTCAGAAAACCACTTTGATCTTTGCTCTAGAGTGAGCTTGGCAAACTATAGAACTCATTTCTATTTCTACATTCTAAGAGGTGGTTGTTGTTATCAGGAACCAAGGGTCTGCAACCCATGGCTCTGGAGCCTTGTGCTATGTAGGTTTCAGCCTCTTTGTGATGTTCACAAAGAAAATTTGATCCTGAGTAACATTTACATATAAATTTAGCAAACAGAAGAGATGGCTTTAAAAAGTTTTACCATTTAAATGTTTTGCTATTTGTGGAGGGATTTTGTGCAGCAGATTGACATTAATGACAGCAGGAGGCTGGGAAACTCCGGAGTTCGTAGACGTTATTATAAATGAGCCTTGGGCACAGCTCTCAATCTGGTAGATTTAGCTAAACATGTCTTGACTCTTCACTAAAAAGTAATGCAATGCTTAATTGGTGTTATTGTTTGTTAGATTTCTCCTTACTTTGAACTGCACAAGGTCAGCATGAATCTGAACAAGAAACTACATTTTTTTGTACAGAACCATGAAGTTTGTTCTCCTGCAGAACTCAGAAAACCAAGATATTTGCAATGCAATTTAAAGTACACACACACACACACACACACACACACACACACACACACACATACACACACACACAAACACGCACATACACACACACGCACACGCACGCACGCGCACACACACACACACACATTTTAATTTTAAAGGTCGAGTAGATTTCTTGTCTTCATCCAAAACAAATTTATTAAAAGTGATATGGTCAATCCTCTCTCAAGGTTTCCAAAACCTCAACTAAAGTATTTATTTTTTTGTTTATTTAAATTAAAGGCGCTCTTCTCTCAGCCTGATATGTTAGTCAGTGTGTTTAGTCTCTAAAGTTACAGACTCTGAGCTCTTGATATCACTGGTCTGCATGTCTGACCTAAATTATTCTGTTTCTCATCAGCACATGAAGTCGTAGGTTTCGGCCCAGTGTTTGAAGAGCAACCGGTGGACACCATCTACCCCGAGGAGTCACCTGAGGCCAAAATTATCATGAACTGCCGGGCTAGAGCCAATCCACCTGCCACATACAAGTAACATATGTTTCCATGAAGCCAGTTTCAGAACTAGACACTTTTTATTCTGTCTGCCCCTCGGCGCCCATCCTGTGATTCTCCTCACATTTCAACTCTTCATTTATTTGTTGCTTTCAAATAATTCAATGACTTTGCAGCATGCACATGTTTTACAACAACAGCCATCTAAATGTTCTGTTGTTGCAGCTGATGCACAGACCTTTTGTGTCTCAACAGCATTTTACACTATCCACTTCAATTTGGATGTAAATCTATGTAAATGTATCGCTCTGCAGCCCCTAAATTGGTTTTGCTCTGAGAGAGAGAGAGCAGAATTAGATGTCAGAGGGGAAGGAATTAGATTGGATTGAGTGATTTTATAACATTTATTTTCAGTATAATGAGATCTACCTTTCCAGACCTTAAATAAGTTGTTGCTTTTCCATGAATGATCATTACCTTTGTAAAAGAGTGTGTGTTTGGTTGCTTTTCCTGTGAACTCCCTTTAATTGGACTACCTACTGAACACGTCATTGTTATCTTGCAGATGGAAACTGAACAACGTGGAAATTGACTTGAATGAAGAAGGAAGACACTACAGTTTATCAGGAGGCAAACTGGTCATCAGCAACCCCATTAGAACCAAACATGTGGGAACATACTTCTGTTTGGCGACCAACATGTTTGGCACAGTGGCCAGCCGGGAAGCATCTGTCCAGTTTGGATGTAAGTTGTCCAGAAAGAAGCTTTAAGTCCTGGATGCTGGGATGTTTAGCACCATGCAGATGTTACACAGTTGCCAAGGAGATGTAGATTCATGCAATTCAAAGAAAAGGGGGATTACAAACTAGCATGACTTTGATGTTTAGTTTCATGGTTAGCTTGTGCTTTGTTTCATTAAAACCATGTTACATTTTATGTAAAACATTTTCACATCTCTGCCTTTTAGACCTTGATCTTTTCTCATCGGAGGAGCGGGAGGCGGTCAACGTCCGGGAGGGTCAGGGGGCGGTCTTGCTCTGTGCCCCCCCTCCACATTATCCAGGTGAAGCATGTCTAGAGTCACTGAAGTGTTTCTATATTCTGTTATGTTCTTGATGAAACATTTGCACCTGAGATTTTGATTTCTAAGCGTGGTTCTGTGATGCAGGGAGACGAAAAACGGCACTGTGTGCAACAATTAAATTGGATATTAGTGATTCATATTCCTACAGCTGGTTTTGGTGTCCTGTGGTGGTTCCTTTGGGATTAATTTTTTGCTTAACTGGAAACTTGAATAATTTCCAGTGACTTTTGAACTCTGACAGTTTTCATGGACAACATTTCTCAGCACAAATGGACAGAAGATGTCCCTGGCTTGGAAGGCTTGCATTGCTGCTTTATGCAGAGGATATCCTCCTGTTGTACTCTTCAAGCTGGGACCTCCAGTGAGTACAGGTACAGCTTTTAGCTGTTGGAATGAAGATCAGCTGTTCCACATCAGAGGTCATGGTCTTTGGCATGGCCAGCTTTTGGGTTGGGAATAGGAGCTTGTGCTCCAGCCAGGTGGAGGAGTTCAGGGGCTTCTTCTGCAGAGTGACTGGACTCACTCTCAGAAGGAGGAGTTGGGTTATTTGGTAGTGCCATTGCTCCTCTGCAGTAAAAACTGTTTATGTGGTTTTGGCATCTGAGAAGGATGTCTTCAGGGCACGCTTTAAGGAATGAACAGACCTCAGAGCAAACCTAGATCCGATATCTTACAGTTGGCTAAGGAATGGCTACCAGTCCCTCTGGATGAGCTGGAAAAGATAGCTGGAGGGAGGAAGGTCAGTCTGCTAAAGATGTTGCCCCTGTGACCTGATGCTTGATGAGCAGCAGAAGATGAGTGAATAGAATTAGAGATTTGGGAGCATCTTTGTCTGAACTTGTTTTCCGTTAGCCAATGAAAGTGAAAACAGAAGCATGAACACCCTTCAACACCAACAATTAAAGAAAACATTTCAATATCCATGCAGATGCAAATCTATCTCTGCCCATAGAGTGAAATGAATAACTTTCTCTCAACAATGTCCCGTTTTATTTAGAAGATACAAAATGTGCTTCCAACACACGCATGCCTTTCAGCTGGATTATAAGTATTCATGCAAAAAGGTCAATAGATGCCTGAATCATAAACCCCTCAGCACTGTATTGTTGTTCTATTTTCGCGCTGCATGTATTTAGATTATTCAGAGCAAGCCAGCCTCATATCCAGTCCCATCAGTTATTTTCAAAGATGCAGCCTCATATTCAAACCTCTGATTGACAGACAGGCTATTCAAAATATCTCTTTCTGTGCAGCCGGACTGTCATTTCGATGGATACTCAATGAGTTCCCCACCTTCATCCCTCTGGACAACAGACGATTTGTCTCCCAGATAACTGGAAACCTGTACATCTCCAAGGTGGACTCGTCAGACAGGGGCAACTACTCCTGCATCGCATCCAGCCCATCTATTTCTAAGAGTGTCTTTTCCAACTATATTCCTCTCAAGCCTCTGGATGAACGTTAGTAGTTTTTTTCCAATTACTCATTGGCAACTGATTTTATCTCAATAATTGTCTAATCTAAAATGACATACAGGAAATCACAAGTTCTAACTTGACCTCTTTAAATGGATATTTGCAAACTTTTCACATTTTAAAATCATTTTCTTGAGCCAGTATGTGCTAAAATGTCCCTTTACAAGGTTAATGAAAGGTCACTCAGACCCCCACCATCCTCTGTGGCCAGATTACGGCATTTGCAACTTCAGAGTGTCGGCCCGGTCTGACATACCTGGTTCTGCAGTCTGGTTCCAGCACGTTTTAGGTCATGAACACAGCTGATTTGTTTAATTTGCTGATGAGCTGCTCCTGTAGAAACTAATGAAGGCTGAGGAGACATTGTACTGTAGCTGTTAGATTAAGGCGTTAAAAAGGCTTATGCACAGCAAGGAGATAGGTTTTGCTTTCAGTTCTACTAAACAGACACTAGGGGGAGTTAAAGCAAACCAAAACCACCTAGTCTGCCTTTAAGTTGTGTTTCTTTTGTCAGCACCAAGGTCAATAGAATAGAAAAAAAGAGGTAAATGAAATAAAATTCCTGTTTGGTAGCAATTATTTATATTCTAAAGAATCCTATGCATGTGAATATATAATCTGATTACGACCCATGGACATAGCTTGGTTGTTTGGTGGAATCTACGGTTGCCTTTCAAACTGTGTCTGTGTGTTTTTGGACAAAAAACAATGTGGCAAACTCACCACATATAAGCCAGTGGGGCAGTCCACTTTACACTGTTGAAGAAAACACAAATATTTTTGTCTCAAATAAAGGATTTAAGTATGTTTATCTGCTCTTAACTCATAGAAAAGCCCAAGTCTAAATGGTTCAAAGTTGATGCCAAAGTCATATCAAATGAGCCATCACCATCTTAGTTATTTTGCTCAGTGGCAGTAACATCCTGCCCACCAAGCCAATAGAGTGCTGTGATTGGCCAGACACAACTGTTTGGATATGCTGAGGATCCTATTGAGTGTGACTAGACGACATGCAGAGCAAAACCATTTAGCTTCGGCTACGGGCTGTCTAGAGCAGTGGTCCTCCATAGGCGGCCCGTGGGCCCCCTCTTTTGCCCCCCCAATTGGTATTAGTATGATATTAACTGACCGATGCTATCTTAATTGTCTAGTACATGATAGTAATCTGTACAACATTGGGATGTTAGCAAACATGTTTAAGCTAGCATCGTTTTACTCACCTGCTGCTCCCCCGTTGTTCTCCTCAGTCTCTCTGCTTTGGCCAATGGTTTCTCCCTCTGGGTTGTCTCTGCTCTCTGGGGCGTGCAGCAAACTCATGACTTTATGGTTTTGGTCCATCATTAGTAGAATTATAAACATTTAATATTTCCTCTGTGTCAGAGCCGGCATTACAATCCATATTTTCTCTGGATTAAGCTAACAGGACTCCCTCAGCTGATATCACTTGGTTTGGCCAAAAAAAATAAAATAAAAGTAAAAACTTTCTCACAAAAATGACTCTAAAAGCCAAAATAATTGATTTATGTCTAAAAAAAATGTTTTAAACCAGTTTGTGTAATGTTTCTCTAAACATTGGTTCATGGGAGTCTCTAACCTGCAATTTACTCTTTAAATGGGAACTAGACAGTTTAGGCTTGTTTTTAGCACCCCTCGTATCAGTTTAGTAGAACCAGGTGCGTCAGCTCAATGTGGTCCCAACAGAGCAGCACACCAGTCTGAAGTTACAAGTGAATATTCTGGCAACATGGGGTGATGGGGCTGGATGGCATTTCCTTAACCTTGTAAAGTGTCATTTTAGCACATACTGGCTCAAGGAAATCATTTAAAAATATGAAAACGTTGCAAAGTATCCCTTTGAATCTTGAGTCTCACATCTGTATTAACATGTATGCTCATGGATTGTAGAATTTTTGTGAAAATGTGTGTGTCTGTTAATCTGTTGATCTTCATCTCAGGTCGTGTTAAAAAGTACCCTGCTGACCTCAGAGTTAGATTCCCAAGCACCACTGCTTTGGTGGGCCAGAACGTCACTTTGGAATGCTTTGCTTTGGGGAAGTACGTGCACCGTTTGCGCTAGAAAACAATCTGATAACATTTATCTATCAACAGCACTTTCTAAATAAAACGGTACTTGAAATAGATTAAGTTTAATTGGTTAGAAAAGCTGGCCCAAAAAATTTGACCATTCTAAAAGTATCATATGTAAAAGTTTACACCTGATACTTGAATTAAAATGCCTATTAATAAGAAAAGACTAGTTTATTTTGAACGATCAGAAAACCGCTGAAGCACAAACCCGTTTTTCTTTGTTCTTCCCAGCCCCGTACCTGAAATACATTGGAAGAGAATTGGTAGAGAACTGCCAGAAAGCCATGAGGTGCGGATGGCTGGTGCTCAGCTGTATCTCCACAATGTTCAGTTTGAGGACAGTGGAGCCTACAGATGTGAAGCTGTCAACTCAAAAGGAAAGGACTCCCACTCTGAAAATGTCTCTGTGGAGGGTAAGAAATATTCTCATATTTGGGTCTTAAAGAGCAAGTTCACTGAAAAACCTTTTTTAATGATTATTTCTGATTATAATTGGTCACTCTGAGTTTGTCGTGCAGGCTGAACATGAAAATAGTCTCCTACACCTATCTCCTGCATTAGCTTCTGGTACTAAATAGGCTGGTGTGGTTATTCCTAAATGGTTTAGTACGTTTGGCATGGAACACTCAGGTTACCAATGAGGTAAATTCCTGAAATTGTTAAAAACTTTGAAACTTTCTTTTGTTGTTTGCAGCTTTTCCTGAGTGGGTGGAGCACATTACTAGCACAGAAAAAGACATCTATAGCTCCTTCACCATGTCGTGCATCGCCAAAGGTGAACCTAAGCCACAAATCCGCTGGCTGAAGAACGGAGAACCGGTAATATTCAAAACTCCACAATCTTTGTTGTCCTGAAACCAAGCTGTTTACAGTGGAGTCGGGGTCCTCTGGGTAGCTCCCTCCTGTTCAGTATGCAGCCATGTGTTTCTGCTGTTGCTCAGCAGAGACAGGAAGCTGGCACTAAGAGTACACGTCATGACAGGAAAAAGTACCTGTTGTTAATCAGCAGCTGCCAGCATTTGTTGCGTAATGCTCCTCTAGAAACCGCTGTCATCGCGCCTGAAATTCCCAAGAGAGCAGCCGCTAGTGACGGCAACGTTGGCAAGGATAATAGAAAAGTGCTGAATGAGTTTCTGTGTGAATGGGTAAATGCGATTACACATTAGATTATATAAGGTGAAAGGCTGATTGGTTAGTTCTTTTGTTTATTGTTATTTATTTAAAGTGTCATCTAGTAGTTATAACTGTTAAACTGTATTAAAGCAGGATGTGGAACAAACAAACATTCTGTTCACAGTTTGATAGAAAAGAGATGAGATTCGCCAGGCTGGCGTTTGATGATTCAGGGATGTACCAGTGCATCGCAGAGAATCGCCACGGAGTTATTTACGCCAACGCAGAGCTGCGAGTGGTTGGTGAGTCAAACTTTAGCTAAACTTGCTGCCCAAAATGCTCATGCTCGAGCTTCTTAACACCTACTGTCACTCCTCAGCCTGCGCTCCCACGTTTGAACACCTTCCAGTAAACAATGTGTTGGCGCCTAAAAATGGTCGCGTGGTGATTGAATGTCGACCGAAAGCGGCGCCGAAGCCCACCTTCTTCTGGAGCAAAGACACCGAGCTGCTCTCCAACTCCAGCAGGTCAGCAGCATCTAAACAGCATGAGGCTTATACTTAAAGGTGTAGAACTTTAAAAAACAATTTTAAAAGCTTTTATTTCTGACGTTTGTCATCCAGGCTGAACATGAAAATAGTCTCCTACACCTATCTCCTGCATTAGCTTCTGATAGAAAGTAGACGGTGAAACTCTTTGATTAGGAAAGCCTGACAGATCTACATCACACCTTCACTTAACATTCATGGACTCACCCATCTTCACTCATGACAGGGAAGTTGTTGTTTTAGCATCCAGGAAGCAGTCAGTACAAGCTAACCATTAGCATTAGCATCTCTACCACATGGCAGAACTCTTTCAGGCTTGAGTTATTTTACTGGAGATCAAACATCAACATTGCATAGTAGAGTTGCATTGCTGTTAGCCAATCAGAGGTGAGATGACCAAAAGTCCGAAGCTCAACTCTGAAGCGGCTCACTTCTAGTTCCTGAAAATGGTGCACCAGTGCTTTGTTTCCCCATAGTACAATGTTCCATGAGATCATGCAGAACAATATTTTCAATATTCAAACAAAACAACTACAATTTTATGAAGCTTAGTTTATAACTCTGGCATGGAAGGTTTTATGTATTACTTAAAGAAATGCCAGGCCTTTTATTTTTGTCATTAATATTAAAAAAAAATTATACAGAAATCAGAATCATAACTACAGTCATTCTAACATTTACACGGGCTAACTGAAGATTAAAGTAATTTTGCTGCTATGAGACATTTTTTGTGAAAAGGAAAAGTTTCTATTTTGCTCAAATGCTTTACAAATGGAAGACCAACATAAGATGCACCTCCCAGATTTCTGAAATAATGCAATTGTGTGACTTCTGAGCAGATCTGCTGTCCGTCAGGAGCTTGTTATGAAGATCAGTGTGTACAGACCGAAGTGTAAAGCCCTGCCTTTTGCTACTTAGTGGCATAACAAGTGTAATTTGAGAACAGTGCTACCCCCCCAGCTATGATGCCTGACGCTACACTCCCCCCAGTCCCCATGCTGGTGCTCACATGTTGTAGGGGAGGGGCAGCAGAGACTATGCAGCATATGCATCCTGATTGTCTCTAGTCTGTATGTGTGAGGGGGTGTTGTGGTGATGGGGCAGCTGGCGAGCTGTTTGTCATGCAGAAATATAAAGTATGCAGAAAAATGCATCAGCTATTTTAACATTTAAAGCAAATGAATGTTGCTCATTTTTGCTGAGTAGTTTTAGGCTAGGAGAAGAGTTCTTTCGTTTTCTTACATCAGTTCATTTGTGGAATAACAAGCAGTGAACTTGTGACCTTTGTCGGTGCAGAATGTTTAGATATAAACCTCCATCTCTTCTCTTTAGTGTGTGTGTGTGTGTGTGTAAGACTGTTCTGCCTTTTCCTCAGGGTTTTTATCTGGGAGGATGGTAGCCTGGAGATCCTCGATGTGACGCAAGCAGATGTGGGCAGGTACACCTGTTTTGCTGAGAACGATTTAGGAAGAGCCAACATCACCCGCCCTCTGCTGGTCACAGGCAAGTTGCAGCAAAACAAAACTTTAGTATATGAATGTGTTCATGTAACGCATGTTTACTGGAGATTTGAAGTCTGCAGTAGGTGACAGTCATCAAGTCCAATCAAACCGGGTTGGTGGACCTCTGACTGTCTACAGATCTCAAGCAGAACATAAAGCACAGACTCCTGCTAGTTGTTCATTCACTTCCCTGGGGGCAGATGCATGAGGGGGTTGCTTTAGATCCAGTGTTGAGACAAGGGATTAGTCCGCACGCTGTGAAGAGAAAAACAACAAGAGGACATAAACGATCAGCTGTGATAATTCACTCCATAACTGATTGTTTGCTCTTCATTGGATACAGTCTCAGGCCTAAACCATGAGTTTTTTTTTAACTTTCTCTTTGCTGATGCTCAGCTCTCTTCTGCTCTCTGCTGGACATCTTTTGCATATAGAACAACTTCAAAAAATTACTTCATTCATCCCTTTGAGCAGTTTGTGTTTGGAAATTTCATTCACATACCTTTATATATTGATAGATTGATTTGTTTGCAATGTTTGTGCAAAATTAACACAAAACCAACAAAGAATCAATGAAAACCTATTAAAACCTCTATCTCTGTGTCCTTTCTATTTCATTTCTAGTTTAAAGAGAACAGGATATGATGGTTTTAGCCACCTCACATGATTGTTTGTGACGTTGGACACGTATTAAATCCTATATGTTTTCCTTCAGAGTCCACAAAGATCACCTTGGCTCCATCTAATGTAGATGTTAATGCCGGCGAAAACACCTGGATGCAGTGTGCAGCATCGCATGACGCTCGGGTGGACATTACTTTCATCTGGTCTCAAGATGGGAAAGAAATTGACTTAATTAAGAACAGCGCACACTATGAAAGCATCCTGGTAAAGGTTTTTATTTGATAATTGTGCTTTTATCTGTGGAACTGAATGAAAAGAGCCTGACAATTAAATGTAAAGTTCTATCTCGACAGAGTTATATTTAAAAGGAGGCATGTTGTGCAAAATGTACTTATGCATCCTTTTGTGCTGCCATGTGGGTCTCTACTGCCTCCACTGCAAATGTGGAAAAACATCCCATCCTTCCAATTTCAGCCAGTGTTTGGTTTAGGAATTATGTGCCTAAAACAATCAGTTTCAAAAAGTTTAAAACTGTGTAAAAGGCAAAATTTAGCCTAGAATAGAACCTCACCTCCCCGGTCAACGTTGGAGAAGGAGCGGGTCTACTACACTGGGGGCATCAAAGATGCATCGTTGCCGTCCTCCTGGTTGGACTCGCAAAATCACCAAATCCTTCTAGACTTCATCTGCCATTACAGCAAAAAGGAGAAAAAGGAGATCAGGCCCATGAAGAAAAATTCACCCTTGCACCTCTTGAAAAATACTGACAGTAAATAAGCCTTGAGGTTACACAAATAGACAATATCTACATAGATACAACATAGCATATTTGCAATAGACTTTTATTTTGAAAATTGCTGGACATTTTACACTGATATCATGTGATTTCCTGTTCAGCTCTGTTAATTGCAGAAATTGACACATCCCAAAAGTGGCTCGTGGCAAAAATATAACCCACTCCTATCTTTTGCGGCGCATGCAGCGAGACACTGCCTGAAATGTTCGATGCCGTGGCCGGTTTGGATCAACCCCATGGACTATAATAGATTCTATTTGAAGCAGCGACTTTCCGTTTCGCACCACCAATGCCCTCGGTGTGGACCTGGGGTGAACCTCTTCCACAAAGCCGGGCTCCTCAGCTTTTTATCACCCTAATAGGGGAGTGGGTGGGCGTGGCCAGTAACAGCATGTTTTCCCTAAAGTGACAAAGCCATGAATGAAAGGGTTAATTCTGAAAGGTACTTAAGACAGTAATAACAGAAATAGCTTTATGTGGGACTGCGTTTTACAAAAAAAACCCATAAAAACATGTTTTGTGTTCATCATAAAACTATTAGAACTTTTAAAAAGTCCTACTATGTCTCCTTGAAGGTCAGGCTGAGGTTACAGAGATTTACACTAGAACACCTGAAAGCAACAGCCTGATTAAAAAATAAATAAATAAAATTCCCAGGAACAACATTTTATCTATCAGCTGAGAGTAACTGCTACCGTTACCTCCTCGCTAAGTGCAGCTCTCATCATAAGCTAGTGGAGTCCCACTGGTCGCCCACTCAGCAACCACAACATTATGACTCAGATTGATGATGAGATCCCATTTTTAGTGCAAGGATTTCCCTTTTTTTTAAAATGATCAGGTTTTGTTCCTCTTGTGTTTATGTGGCATTAGAAAAGCCTGCTCGAGGCTTTAGCAGCAACGTGAGTGCAGAGATGTATATTTTAGTCTTTGATGTTTTTCCTTTGAATCATAGTGTTGACTTGAACCCTCTGGAGGCAGGCATTGCAGATTTGCAACGTTAAAACATACCTACCTGGTTACTCCACATACGCATTTCATGAGTATTCTTAAACTCAGAAGTACCCCTGAAGGACTTAGTTGTTCGTCCTTCATTATGAAAATTTATTTTGAGCCTGAGAGGTTAATTAAATGTGCAGATTAGATTAAACCTCTTTATACCTGATCATTCAGATGAGTGTCAGATGGACATTTTTCATTTTTGTCTGTTATGAATCTTTGTCGCTCAGTCTTGAATTGATTCTCATCTCTTTGTGTCATTTTATGCAGAATGGAAGTTCAAATAGCAAGCTGTTGATAAAAAATGTTCAGCTGAAGCATGCGGGACACTACACCTGTACTGCAAACACCCAGGTTGACAACATCACTGCCTCTGCCCACCTGGTTGTTAGGGGTGAGTCATGAGCTTTGAGTAAAATATTTACATTTATAAATGTAATCTTTAAAGATATATCTGAAAGTCCAAAAAAGATCAAAAACAGCATGTATCTGAACACTGTTGTCTTTCAGTGGATCTGTAACTTTCGTTAGCATTAGGTCTTTGTGACCTCGGTGAATTCAAACATCCATCTGGAGTAATTCTTCTTCTTAAAAGCCATAATTAAAATAACATATCATTCCATAAAATTTCATAAAAACAAGAATATAGGGAGCCTGAGTCTCCTCCCATTCTGGTCGGTCCCCGGAAGAATGAAAAAATGAATGCAAGTCAACAAGGCTAAAGAGTTATTTTCTAATCCTCTTTGCCTTATGCCCTGGATCGCACATTTGTTGTTATGGCCACCAGACAACCCACACCTGGGATAAAAAGGCTGTGCCTTCAGCAGGCTGGGAGGCAGCAGTGCAGAGGTTCTGCTGTCCTCCTGGCCTTGTTTCGTTGTATACCCCTTCATTTTTGAAGAGTTTTAACTTTCATAGTTTTCACTCCGAGTTGATCAGTTTTAAATCTTAAAACTCTGAGTGATCCATAGGGTTCTTTGTTTGATGTCATCTTAGTTGACTGAGTGATAATCTTAATGATCTCTGGTTTGGGGATTTTAAAGGTTAACTCTGTTCTGGTTTTAAGACTTTTATCAACTTTGTGGACTTTTAAAGACCTTCAGTTTTGGTAAAACTTTTAACAAAGTTTTAAGCAGGTGTTTTAATCAATCAATCAGAGGGGAATTAGAGTTTCAGCACACACAATTCAGAGATCAGATATACATGGGCAAGGCACATGACAAGAATTGGTGACTGTGGTCATTCGCAACCCTGAGTCGCGCTACCTTAATAGAGATAAGAGGGGTTACATGAGGATTGGTTCAGGTGGAGGGAAAAAAGGCACTTCAGAGCTACCCTCCACCAGGAGGGCAGCTTTGCTCTGCAAAAAAACACCTCAGACAGATATGCAACAGACTTCAGACAACACAACATAAGTGTCCACTAGGTGGGGTGATGGGTTGGAACTATCCCTACTTCAGTTCCTGCAGCCATGATAGAAGCTGTGCATGCCACCTCAGTGTGGCTAAGGGGTGGGGAGCATTGAGGGGTGGAGGGTTGCAGTGACCCTGGAACGTTTCAGCGGCCTTCCCGCAGTCCCACCCAGGCTGGGATAGGAGAAAGAGTTGAGTTGCCATAGCGACGGCACATTCCACATGTCTTCTGAGGGGGGAGTTTTCGTTGGAGCCTTGCAGGTTCAAGGGCACCAGATTCCGATTAGAAATTGTTTTGGGGCCAGACAGAAATAATTTCCTCTCTTTCTTACAGTTTGTTAGTCCTCAACTTCTCAAAATCCCAATAATGGACGTTAAACTATCCCAATCCGTGCTGATTTGTCCAATCTCTCCTTGATGGCATCCATCTTTTGAGCCAATAATGAATCTCAGCCAAAGTCCCAAGCTTACGATTCATCTCGACAATTATGCGAGTCTGTGAATTCACAGCGTGGTGCAATTCATCTCTGAGCTCCGGGATCAGGCCAATATTCCTCGACAGCTCGTAAATTTTCCGGTAAGCCAGGTAGCCTCCAATGCCGATCAGCAGGAAACCCGACACCAACACCTCGGATATCCACACGTCTTCAGAGTCCTCCACAGACAGCTGGTATGTCCCAGAGGGGCATCCGGGAGCCTCTTCTCCAGTTGTCATCCTTGAAAAAATTTTATCAACCGCGTTGAGAGACCAACTGACGAGATCCGTTTTAGTGAATTTCAGTTTCCAGTTTCCAGAAAAAATGCAGAAGCAGCTGTACACCCAGCTTGATAAGTTGTCTTTTAACTGTTGACCTTTTTGTGAAATTTCAGTTTTACATTATTTTAATAATGCTCACCATCTGTTTGCACTTGTTTTTAGAATCTTTTATAAAAATTAAACCCATTTTTAAATTCACGGTCATGTTTCTTATACTACCCCCTCCTTCACATTTTAACAGCACATGTCAGGGTTGTAACATATGTTGTACTAATATTTAAATGAAAAGTAATGATGGGTGTTTTGACCATGCCAGTCACGTACTTTAAGATTTATCTGCTTGTAAAAGTTCGCAATTAGCATGGTTACAAATCAGACATTGGTATGTTGCATATGTAACATCACCACATCATCTCCTTTCCCCTAGCGTAGCTGCTACGTACCACGTGGCCAGATTTATGGTGGTTCTTTCCTCCTGAAGGAAGGATTTGAAGTTTGCTAAACTTACAGCCATTTTCTCTCTGTTTTTCTCCATGTCTGGTTCGATGACGTCACTTTCATGAAGCGCATTTGTAGTCCTGGACTTATTTTCACACAAAACCTAAAATAGGGTCGAACTCTGGGAACTGGTAATGGTTGTACCCCATGTGCAGCAGTACCGGGACCAGAGTGATATAGGGTGTGTAGGGGGAGCATGAGTGGGTGTCCGGCATGCATTTTTGTAAGTCTTTGGATGTATGTGCATGTGTGAGTATGACAGAGGAAGTGTGTGACTGTGTTTATGTATGACTGTATATGTCAGGTGGGGCCTTTGACTCATCCCATCTCCTGGTATATATATATATATATATATATATATATATATATATATATATATATATATATATATATATATATATATATATATATATATATATATATATATATTGTTTGTCCTGTCTGGCTGTGAAGCAAACAGAATTGATGTCTGAATGCTGGTAACAAGCCTTACAGATTTACTCTCAGGTGGAGCATCAAAGCTTCTGCTTTTAATGTCACGCCTGATACTTAAAACTTTATTGTTATTGTTTTTTGAATGCTTTGTAATTCCGACCAGATATGGAGACAGAGGTGAAAGAGAAAGGAAGATACAATAGGTGTAACAATCAATGATGAACAAGAGTCTGCTTCTAGACCTGCAGAAAAGGGACACACAACAAAACAACAGGAGCAAGCTATCACTGCATCAACTTGGTGAAGAAATGTAAAATAAACAATGTTTTACTGAACAGTCACACGATAATAAATCACAGTGCATTTAGTGCCAACCACAGCCTTAAGACATGTGTTGAACGTGCCCAGGTCCATACTTATGAGAGCACCATGTGAGCACCTGTGTGTGTATACGCGCTTGTTTATGTGAGGTTTCTCTATGGGAGCGTCCAATAGAGAGTGTGAGGGACCACAGATCTGCCCCTCAAAGATGTTTAGAAAATGGAGGGAGCTCCAAGTCCCAGAGATCCAGGCGCTGCCCCAGAGCACAGGGACTCTAAGGATACTGCGACCAGAAAATCCCCTGCCCCACTCGAGGGGCGCAGAGGATTGCCCCGGGGGCCACAACCAGCAGCCGGCAAAGTCCCGATAGATATCAGTGACAAGCCCACAGGCCCGCAGCCTCCCACCCCCTAGCTGGCCGAGCCCGGAACCCAGCGACCCGGTACCCAGGGGCGACCACCCCCGCCGGGGACCCAGCAGAGCCCAGAGACCCAGATCCCACCAGGCAGCCACCGGGATTGGTCAGGCAGATGCCAAAAATCTTAAACCCCCTGACCCGGGAGCCACGAACGCTCAGGCAGACCAAGGCACCACACTCCAATCCAGGTGTGGCAGGAGGAGGGGAGACGAAGATGTATAGCATCAAAAGAAATCCCAGGATCACAAGTGAGCATGCGCTGACGACCGAACACCGGATACACGGCAGCGTTTGAAGTAGATGGCAGCTCGTTAACAAACATCCACAATTAAGACGCATTTTTGCCTTATTTATCTACTGACAACTCAAAAAATAATCTGGTAATTATAACTCACTCAACCTGGAGGTCAGTGAAGAAAATTTTGAAAGTTTAGAAAACTATATTGATGGAGTTTTTGAGTTTTTCATCATGGGTCAGAAGAAATCATCAGCTGAGCCTGAAACACCTGGGACCAAGAGGAGCTGTCCTCAGGACTCGCCTGAGGCCTCATCTCCCCATATGGACATATTAGAATTATTAGATTCTATAGATAAACAGCTTCTGGGATTTGAGGGGCGACTTCATCTGCTTGAGGTTCTACACCAGGAGTTTCAGAACCTCCGAACATCTTTGGAGTTCAGCCAAGAGCAGGCTGAGCGGCTCGCTGCTGAGAACACGTCTCTGCGGGAGTCCGTTTCTTCCCTGGAAGAGGGAATGATGCGGATCATCCTGGACAACAAGATTCAGAAGAAGACGGTTTTGGACCTTCAGGCCCGTCGTTTGGAGTATCGGGACATTCCTTGGAGGTGGGTTCTCTGGGGGTGTCTGGGACTGGAGGGCCATTGCCCCCCTCTGGAGGTTCTTGGGTTGCCTCGGGGGGTGGACTACTGGCAGTTGTGAGTGGGGCCCCTTGGAGGTCTTGGCGGTGGCCATGGGTTACTGCCCGGCAGCTGCATTGCCCCTGGGCGGGTCTGGGTGGGGGCCTGGGGGCTTGGGGTGTGGGGGTGGCCGGCCCCGTGGGGGGATCTGGGCGGGGCCTTGGGGGTCGGGTCCTGACATGTATGCTGCCGTGGAGAAGGCAGGAACATGCAGCAGTGCCTGACTCGGGTTCAGGGGCCTCAGGTAGACCTTGGCTCCTCTGCTGTCCCATCACAGGGGAGGGGGAAGTCCAGGAGGGGGAGGACCCAACCTTACCTGGATGTCCTATGTCTTTTACAGTCCGGAAGTTGTGCAAATGCAGGGATGGGCATAGATATTCTGCTGGGGTGGGGCTGGGTTGGTGCTCTCGGACTCCGTGAGGCTCTGTGTTGCTGCTGCTTTGGGCCCTGGCAGGATGGGCTGGGGTCTCCATGCTCTGGGTGGCATTTTGACAACAGAGGTGACTATTAGGGCCAGTGGGGGAGCGGGCTCCCTGGAGGGCTAAGCCCAACCCGCCATTCCTCCCCATCCCCACACATTTCTCTCTTCCTGCTCCCTCACATCATCACACGCACATAGGTCCTTGGGGGGTGGA